GGTGAAGAACTTGCGGGTGGTGGTGATGATGGAGCAGGTCAGGGGCCCGAAGTACACCACGGTCATGAAGATGAAACTCTGCCCCGCCAGAACACAGCCCCTGTCACTGGCACTGCCAGGACAGGCAGCCAGGGGGAAATCCCAAAGGATCTCCCTTCAAATCCTGCTTTTTCCTGGGTTAAAGTGGGTTTGTGGCATCCTGGGATGGGCTGGAGGGGCCTTGGAGCTCATCCAGGGACACCTTCCCCTGTCCCAGGGTGCTCCAGCCTGGCTGGGACCTGCCAGGGATGGGGCAGCCACAGATTCCCTGGGAATTCCAGCCCAGCCCCTCCCAGGGAAGCAAAGCCCAGCCCAAATCCTGTCCCTGAGCCCTGACCTGGCCCAGGGCGCTGGTGAGGCCGAAGAGGAGGATGTTGGAGATGATGCTGGGATAACGCTCTGTGAAACTCAGGAACTCCCAGAGCTCCCCCGTGAACAGGATCCCTGGAAAACAGCCAGGAGCAGCCTGGATGGGGATCCCCACCCTCGTGGGGGCAGGCTGGGCTCAGAACCCCCAAACCAGGCAGTGAACCCCACAAACTCCTGCAGGAAACACCAGCAGCAGAAGCAATCGCTCTCCTGGTTAATTAGTGAAAGAAAAATCATTAAGTAGGATCAAATTCCAACAGAACAGTCCCCAGCAATTAATCAGGAGTGCTAATCTTGGAATGGTTGGGCTGGGAGGGATCTTAAAGCTGCTCCAGTGCCAGCTCCCAGCCCTCCTGGGCTCCAGTCTGTGCTCCCAGCTGGAGCAGAAGGAGAGCCCAGGGAGGGGCAGGGCTGGGCCAGGAGCAAAAACCCAAAAATCCCCAACAGAACCAAGCCCCAGAGGGCTCCAGGCCAGGGCAGGGCCCGGATCCAGCCCTGGCTCCTCACCTGCCCCCAGGAAGAGCGTGGACCAGAGGTTGACGTTGAGCATCATGTGGTTGGAGCCCGTCTGGTAGTGAGCCCTCATGTGGTCCTGGGACACCCCCGTGAGCCCGTCCAGGGTCAGCGACAGCAGCTGGGCACCCACAGACACACAGACAGACAGACAGACAGACGGGGACACCATCAGGCCCCGCTCCTTCTCCCCAGGGGAAACGGCAATCCGCCCTTTCACAGCAGGGACGGGGACACCGTCAGGCCCCGCTCCTTCTCCCCAGGGGAAACAGCAATCCCCCCTTTCACAGCAGGGACCCACAGGGATTGTCAGGGGGGCTGCAGGCACAGGGGGCTCCTCTCAGCACACCTGGGAGCCCGGGTGTGTCCGGGGGTAAATCCCACCTGGGAGCCCGGGTGTGTCCGGGGGTAAATCCCACCTGGGAGCCCGGGTGTGTCCGGGGGTAAATCCCACCTGGGAGCCCGGGTGTGTCCGGGGGTAAATCCCACCTGGGAGCCCGGGTGTGTCCGGGGGTAAATCCCACCTGGGAGCCCGGGTGTGTCCGGGGGTAAATCCCACCTGGGAGCCCGGGTGTGTCCGGGGGTAAATCCCACCTGGGAGCCCGGGTGTGTCCGGGGGTAAATCCCACCTGGGAGCCCGGGTGTGTCCGGGGGTAAATCCCACCTGGGAGCCCGGGTGTGTCCGGGGGTAAATCCCACCTGGGAGCCCGGGTGTGTCCGGGGGTAAATCCCACCTGGGAGCCCGGGTGTGTCCGGGGGTAAATCCCACCTGGGAGCCCGGGTGTGTCCGGGGGTAAATCCCACCTGGGAGCCCGGGTGTGTCCGGGGGTAAATCCCACCTGGGAGCCCGGGTGTGTCCGGGGGTAAATCCCACCTGGGAGCCCGGGTTTATCCCAGGTGTAAATCCCACCTGAGACCCTGGGTTTGCCCTGGGGTAAATCCCACCTGGGAGCCCGGGTTTGTCCTGGGGTGAATCCCGCCTGGGAGCCCGGGTGTATCCTGGGGTAAATCCCACCTGGGAGCCTGGGTTTATCCCAGGTGTAAATCCCACCTGAGACCCTGGGATGTATCCCAGGTGTGAATCCCACCGGGACCCAAGGGTTTATGCCAGGTGTAAATCCCACCTGGGAGCCCGGGTTTGTCCTGGGGTAAATCCCACCTGGGAACCTGGGATATATCCCAGGTGTGAATCCCACCGGGACCCAAGGGTTTATGCCAGGTGTAAATCCCACCTGGGAGCCTGGGATGTATCCCAGGTGTAAATCCCACCTCAAACCTTGGAATTTACCCCAGGCGAGAGTAAATCCCACCTGAGGGTTTCTCCCAGGAGTAAATCCCACTCTCAGGAGTAAAAACCCCCTGAAACTCTGGAATTTATCCCCGGTGCAAATCCCCCCTGAAACCCTGGAATTTATCCCAGATGAGGAGTAAATCCCACCAGAATCCCAGGATTTCTTCCAGGAGTAACTCCCAGGATTTCTTCCAGAAATAAATCCCACCTGAGTGCCGTGGGGCTCCTCCCAGGTCCCAGCACTCACCAGGAGCAGCTCCCCGTAGCCAAAGATGTGCTCGGTGTCCCCTGTCCCCTTTTTGGGCTTGTAGAGGAACAGGGCCACCCCCGCCACGATGAGCAGCACGCACAGGTACTTGGCTGGGGGGTACCTCTTCCGCAGCAGGGTCACCCCCAGCAGCATCACTGGGAAAAGGGAGGTCAGAAACTGCCCCAAAATCCACCCAGGGGAATTACATCACTAAAAGATCACCCCAGGAACATCATTGGGAAAAGGGAGGTCAGGAACTGCCCCAAAATCCACCCAGGGGAATTACATCCCTAAAAAGTCATCCCCAGGAACATCATTGGGAAAAGAGAGGTCAGGAACTGCCCTAAATCCACCCACAGGAATTCAATCCCCAAAAAGTCACCCCCAGGAGCACTACTGGGAAAAGAGAGGTCAGGAACTGCCCTAAATCCACCCACGGGAATTAAACCACTAAAAAATCATCCCCAGCAGCATCTCTGGGAAAAGAGAGGTCAGGAACTGCCCTAAATCCACCCACGGGAATTAAACCACTAAAAAATCACCCCAGGAGCATCAAACCCCCCAAAACTGGGCGATTCTCTTACCTGGGATGGGTTTGCAGGACTTGCCCAGGACCTGGGAAGGGAAGAGGGGCGTTAATGATCCCCACCCCAGAGTGAGACCCCAAGAATGAGACCCCCAAGAATGAGACCCCCAAACTCCCCAGGGCAGCCGAGACCCCACAGGCAGAGCTCAGCCCCCTCCTCAGGGAGGGACCCCAGCTCCCTGCCCGGTGACACTGCCACCACCTCTGGGGAGCTCTGTCCCTTCTCAGAGCCCTCCCTCACCCCCGGCAGGGACCGGGACATGAGAGTGACCCCAGGAAATGGCAGGGTCGGGGTCACAGCCAGGGACCCCTCAGTGTCACCTGGGTGGGGTAGCTGACGAACTGCAGGGCGGCGTTGCTGGACACCATGGCGCCCAGGTAGGACAGCGAGCAGGCCCCGTACAGCCAGCCCCGCGTGCGGTCCGGCCGCGCCGCGTCCGTCAGGCGGATCACTGCGGGACAGGGACCGGGACGGCTCAGGAGCGGCCCCGGCCCCGCCACGACCGGCCCGGGGCTGCCGGGGCTGCCGGGGCTCCGCACTTACGGAGCTTGGCGAAGGCGGCGTTGATCACGCACTGGATGAACACGAGCGTCAGCGCGTACTTGAACTTCTCCTGCTTCGCTCCCTCCCCGTAGCGGCCGCGGGTGCTGCGGGACGGACAGCGGGACACGCGGACACCGGTGACACCGGGACGGACACCGGTGACACCGGGACGGACACGGGCAGAGAGCCCGTGGCACGGGAAGGAGCGGCGCGCCCCGGTCCCCGCTCCCAGCCCCGGGTGTGCCCCCGCGCCCCGCGCCGGTGTCCCCGCGTCCCCCCAGCCCCGGTACTCCGTGCTCCCGCGGCTCCAAGCCCCGGTCCCGCCGTGTCCCGGCCCCGCTCCGCCCCGGTGTCCCGGTGTCCCTCACATGCTCTCCTGCAGGATGCCATAGTAGAAGTAGCAGGCGAACACGCCGAGGAAGCAGACGGGCAGGCGGAGGCGCTCGGGCAGCCCCGCGGCCGCGCTCGCTCCCATGGTGGCGGCGGGGCCGCTCAGCGCGGGCGGCACCTCCAGCGCCACATCCCGCGGCGCCCCGGGCGGCCTCATCGGCCCCGCCGCGTTCGCCCCGCCCCGCGCCGCCCCGCGCGCTGCCGGACCCGCCGCGGGGGGAAATGCGGGCGAGGCGAGCCGGGAACAGCGCGGAGCAGGACGGGGATTGCACGCCGCGATCTCCGAATCCTCCACGAGGCTGTGGCCTCCGCGGTTCGGCCACGATGGGACCGGGGGTGTGCGGGGCGGTGCAGGCAGTACCGAGGGCACCCCAGACTTAGGGGCCTTCGCGATGCACGGCGCGCGCAGGCGCGCCACCCGATGTGGAGAGCGGCGATTGGCTGCGCTGAGGGGGCGGGGTAAAGGAACGGGCTCTGATTGGTGATCTTGGGAAGAGGCTCCGCCTACTCTGTGCGACACCGAGCGGGGCTTTCGGGGTCCTTCCGCCGGCCCGGGCCCGGCGGTGCCGGGTGCCGGCTGGGATCGGTTCCGCCCCTCCCGAGGCCCCTTTTAGTCGCTCCCTTTGCTCCGAGCCGCGCCTCTGGGAGGCTCCCGGGCTCGTCGGGGCCGGGGAGCAGCGAGTCAGGAAAGCACTGTGGCCGCCATGACACTTTGTCCTTCACAGTTCCTCTCATCCCTACGGGAACCCCCGGGCCACACACTCCACCTCCAGGGCACTGCTTCCCGCAGGCTGCACGGAGGAGCTGCCGGTGCTGCAATTCTCGAGGCTTCACACCACAAGGGAGCTCTGGAAGCTCCCCCGCCTGGGCTCGGCGCTGCCCTCACCCAACACGGCGGCCTCGGCACCGGGCGCGCCTCGCCCCGCCGGCCTCGTGCCCTTATCAAAGATGGCGGCCGCCGCAGCCGCCCCCGCCCGGCGCCCGCTGCCCCGATCAAAGATGGCGGCGGGCGGCTTCAGGGCCGGCAGCGCCTGCCCGGCTCCAAGATGGCGCGCGGTCACGTGACGGGGGTGTGGGCCGCGTCCCGGCGGAAGCGTGAGGGACCGAGCAGGGAACGGCGGCTGGCGGCGGCGGGAGCGGGGCTGGCGCCGCAGGAGCAGACGTGCCGCAGAGCGGGGGACACGGCTGTCACCACGGAGTCCGCCAGCAGCAACACCGCGGCGGCTACCGCCGCTTCGCGGGCCGCGGGCGCCGGGGACCAGGCAAGCTCGCTGCCCCCGCCCAGGATGCAGCGCAGGAAGGTGAGTGCGGCCGGGAAACGGGGGAGGCGGCCAGCGGGGAGACCGGCGGGCTCGGGCCGCTGCTTTCTACCCTTCCCCAGCCCCTCCGCTCCTTCTCCCGGCTCCAAAACTGGGGGGAAAATAGCGGCCTTGAGCCCCCAGCGCCCGCCTCCCGCGCTCTCTGATTGGCTGGAGCACTAGCAGGCCGCGCGCTGATTGGCCGCTGTGCCTGTCACTCATCACCCCAACGGCTACCATTTCCCCTCCCCCGCGCCGGCAGCGGGGCCCGCCCCTTGCCGTTTCCGATTGGACACGCCCTCGGAGATCTGGCCGTCTATTGGGCGGGTCTGCATGCCGGGCTGGCCGCTGATTGGCTACTGCTGCTGTCCATCTCCACCCCCAACGGTCACCTCCCCGCGCGAGCCTTGTTTCTCCCTTCCCCCACCGCGCCGCGGCCCCCCCAGGTTGGCGTTGCCGTGGGAGCAAGCCTCGCGCTGATTGGCTGCCGTTCGCTGTCCATCACGCGCGGTGGGGGCCCGCCTTTTTTATCCTCGAGCTGCCATTGGTGGCCCTCCCTTTCGGCCCCGCCCACGCGCGCTGTGATTGGCTGCGGCCCGCGCGGCTCCGCTGGGTGCAAAACAAAGCGGCGCGGGGGCCGCGCTCCCGCCAGCGGCGCGAGGCGCGCACCCCCACCGGCACCTGCCGCCACCCCCAGACCCCCGGTGTCCCCTCACCGTGTTACCCTTCAAGCGCACCTGGAAATTAGGCACAAGCCTGGAATGGGGAGGGAACAAAATTAAAGGGTTTAGGTTGGAGTGTGAGCGGTTTAATGATGAGAAATGAAGTGAAATAATGTAATAGTGTTTAATTACGGTGGTGACGGAAAGGGAAAGGAGAAAAAATCGCAATCGCTGCCTGATGCCAGACCCCCTTCCAGATTGGTGCCCCACTTTGGGATAATTCTGCTAATTCCTGCAGTTTGTATCCTGGGAATGACACCCTGTGCTGGGAATGCCCCTTTGGCCATGAGGGATCACCTGGCCTGGTTTGCTTTGGAAACTCCTCACTGGCAGAGCAGCAGACACAAAAAGAAAGAGAAAAAAGAGTCCTTGGTTTGACATAAAGCACATAAACCTTCACCTGCAGCTGAAGCGGCTGGGAGGCCGTGGGCAATGCCAAAGATTCACTCACTTATCGCGGGTTTTAGCCCCGGTGCTGACGTGCGGTGTGTGTTGCAGAGGAACGCGGGCAGCAGCTCGGACGGCACGGAGGACTCGGACTTCTCCACGGACCCCGAGCACACGGACAGCTCCGAGAGCGACGGCACCTCCCGGCGCTCCGCCCGCGTCACCCGCTCCTCCGCCCGCCTCAGCCAGAGCTCCCAGGGTACGCAGGGCTGCTCCGCAAACCGGGAGGGGCTCTTCTTTCACCGGGGAGGGGCAGGTTCTTCTTTCACCGGGAGAGGTTCTTCTTTAAACCAGGGAGAGGTTCTTCTTTAACCGGGGAGAGGTTCTTCTTTAACCGGGGAAAGGCTCCTCTTTAAACCAGGGAAAGGTTCTTTAACTGGGGAAAAGTTCTTCCTTAAACCAGGGAAAGGCTCCCCCTTAAACCAGGGAAAGGCTCCTCTTTAAACCAGGGAAAGGTTCTTTAACCGGGGAAAGGCTCCTCTTTAAACCAGGGGAAGGTTCTTCTTAACCGGGGAAAGACTCCTCTTTAAGCCAGGGAAAGGTTCTTCTTTAAACCAGGGGAAGGGCTCCTGCTTAAACTGGGGAAAGGTTCTTCTTTAAGGGAAAGGCTCCTCCTCAAACTGAGGAAAGGCTTTTCCTTAAACCAGGGAAAGGCTCTTCTTTGAACCGGAGAAAAGCTTCTCCTTAAACCAGGGAAAGGCTCCTTAAATTGGGGAAAGGCTGCTCCTTAAACCAGGGCAAGGCTCCTCTTTAAACCAGGGCAAGGCTCTTCCTCAAACCAGGGGAAGTCTTTCCTTAAACCAGAGCCAGGCTCTTCCTCAAACCAGGGGAAGTCTTTCCTTAAACCAGAGCCAGGCTCTTCCTTAAACTGGGGCAAGGCTCCTCCTTAAACCAGGGCACGGATCTTCCTCAAACTGGGCAAAGGCTCTTGCAGCCCCACACAGAGTCCCAGGTGCAGCTCCACAGCACAGGCAATCCTGCTGTTCCCAGGGGTTATGGGTTCTTATCTAAACTGAGGGATCTTTGCTTCTCCAGATGGGAGCTGGGCGCTAATTACGGGTTAATTAAGTTGTTAAACCTGGGGAAAGCTGGTGGCACTCCAGATTGCTCCAAGTGTGCTGAGGTTTTATCAGGCAAGGCCAGGGCATGGTGGCATGGGCAGGACAGAGGCACGGGGCGTCGGTCAGCGTGGGGCAGGGGGACCTGTGGGTGCTGTGGTGTGACTGGGGGGTCCCCGTGGTGTGACCAGGGTGTCCTCATGGTGACTGGGGTGTCCCCATGGTGTGACTGGGGTGTCCCCATGGTGTGACTGGGGTGTCCTCATGGTTCCTGGGGTGTCCCCGTGGTGTGACTGGGGTGTCCCTGTGGTGTGACCGGGGTGTCCTCATGGTTCCTGGGGTGTCCCCATGGTTCCTGGGGTGTCCTCATGGTGTCCCCACAGTGTGACTGTGGTGTTCCTATGATTCCTGTGGTGTGATTGTAGTGTCCCCATGGTGTGACCGTGGCTCCCGTGGTGTCCCCGCGGTGTCCCTGTGGTTCCCGCGGTGTGACCATGGTGTCCCCGCGGTGTCCCCATGGTGTGACCGTGGTCCCCACGGTGTCCCCGTGGTGTCCCTGCGGTGTCCCCATGGTGTCCCCGCGGTGTCCCCGGTGTAACGCTGCGTTCCCCCGGAGCAGACTCCAGCCCGGTGCGGAACCCGCCGGCGTTCGGGCCGGACGAGCCGGTGTACTCCACGCGGAGGGTGACCCGCAGCCAGCAGGCTCTCCCCTCAGCTGTGTCCCCTCTGCCCCTCCCCAGACACCAAAAACGCAGCGGACCACGACGAGTCCCCGCCCCGCACCCCCACGGGGAACGCGCCGTCCTCGGAGTCCGACATCGACATCTCCAGCCCCAACGTGTCCCACGACGAGAGCCTGGCCAAGGACATGTCCATGAAGGACTCGGGCAGCGACCTCTCCCACCGGCCCAAGCGCCGCCGCTTCCACGAGAGCTACAACTTCAACATGAAGTGTCCCACTCCTGGCTGCAACTCCCTGGGTAAGGCCGTGCCTCGGCAGCGCTGCTCCAGGGCTGCTGCTTTGGTCGGTGTCAGTCCTGGAAACGGGCAGGAATCAGGGGCAGGAGATTGCTGCTTTGGTCTCTGTCAGTCCTGGAAACGGGCAGGAATCAGGGGCAGGAGATTGATGCTTTGGTCTGTCTCACTCCTGGAAATGGGCAGGGAATCAGGGTCAGGATGTTGATGCTTTGGTCGGTGTCAGTCCTGGAAACGGGCAGGAATCAGGGGCAGGAGATTGACACCGACCAAAGCAGCAATCCTGAAAATGGACAGGGAATCAGGGTCAGGAGATTGACACCGACCAGAGCAGCAATCCTGAAAACTGGCAGGAATCAGGGTCAGGAGATTGACACCAACCAAAGCAGCAATCCTGAAAACAGGCAGGAATCAAGGGCAGGAGATTGATGCTTTGGTTGGTGTCAGTCCTGGAAATGGGCAGGAATCAGGGTCAGGAGATTGCTGCTTTGGTCTGTTTCACTCCTGGAAATGGGCAGGAATCAGGGTCAGGAGATTGCTGCTTTGGTTGGTGTCACTCCTGAAAATGGGCAGGGAATCAGGGTCAGGAGATTGCTGCTTTGGTTGGTGTCACTCCTGAAAACGGGCAGGAATCAGGGTCAGGAATGCCAAGGAGCAGGTCTGGAGAAGGGATGTGAAGCATAAATACAGGGATGTTGTTCCTGGAGGTGTTTTCTGTTTTGGAGGGTGACAGGATGAGGGACCAGATAGGAGGGTGAGCACAGGTGTGGGAGGAGAAGTCTCAGGTTTGTGGGCAGGGCACTGGTTTTTGCCAGAAACAAGATTTCAATGCCAAATTATTGCACTGCCATCCCTGGCTGCTTTGGCTTAGTGTCAGAAAGGTTTTCCTTCCTTTTTAAACCAGGAAGTTTCCTCCTCCTATCCCCTGTCAGTGATCCTGTGAGGGATCTGCCCATGTGGGAGACTTCCTCCATCTCTTTGGGATCATTTGTCACAAGCTTTGTTGTTTTCCTGACCCCTTGCAGGACACCTGACCGGGAAGCACGAGCGCCACTTCTCCATCTCGGGGTGCCCTCTCTACCACAACCTCTCAGCAGATGAGTGCAAGGTAAACGTGCATGGTTTTGCCTTTGATTTCTCCTCCTTTGGGATTTTTAGGGTGAAATGTTGATCCTTGTGATCTGTGAGCAGCAAACAGTTCACACCCTCGTGCTGCTGTGCTTGCCTGTGAGGCAGCAGCATTTGTGTGTCACACCTGGAGGGGCGGGGGGTGACAGGAGGTGGCTGCAGCCCTGACAGGTGAATTTTGGCCCCCAGGTGCGAGCACAGAGCCGGGACAAGCAGATTGAGGAGCGGATGTTGGCCCACAGGCAGGATGACAACAACAGGCACGCCACCAGGCACCAGGTGAGGGGCACAGCCCCAGCTCCCAGCTCCCAGCGCAGGGCTGGGGGCCTGGGCTCCCTTCCCACATCCTGAGGAGCTGCTGGGGCAGTCCTGACCCTGCCCAGCTGCCATTCCAGAGGGGGAATTCCCTGGATCCCCTCAGTGAGGTTGGAGCAGGCAGGGAGAGCAGAGCTGTGTTCTCAGGATGATCCTTTCCCTGAGTTTGGATGTGCTGGACCAGGGAATTCCTGCAGAGCTGTAAACTGCAATTTCCCTCTGAGTAACCAGCAGAGAGCCAGAGCAGGGGAATGACATTTCCCAGTCCCTGAGTCAGCTGGGAGCTGTTCCCCAGCACGGAGCATTCCGTGGGGAGCTCACCCTGTCCTGTGGTGGGAAGGAAAATTTCCTGCTTTGCATTCCTGTGCTGCAGCTGCAGTGCCCTGTGATTAGCAGAGGATCTGGTTCAGACCTCGTGGAATGGCAGCCAGGGTGGAATTCTTTGGGGTGGGCAGGGAAGGGGGAGGTTTGGAGGGGCTGGAGCCTCTCAAGGCCCCACCTGGGGTTTCTTTCAGGCCCCCACAGAGAGGCAGCTGCGCTACAAAGAGAAGGTGGCTGAGCTCAGGAAGAAGAGGAACTCGGGGCTCAGCAAGGAGCAGAAGGAGAAATACATGGTAAAAGCAGGAATTCCATCCTTTCACTCCCCCTGGGATGCAGTTTGGCTCTCCCAGTCATCCTGCAGCACTCCCAGCTAGAAAATCTGCAGGATGCAGCAGCTCAGCAGCCAAAGTTGCTGTCCTGTGGTTTTGCAGGAGCACAGGCAGACCTATGGCAACACCAGGGAGCCTCTCCTGGAGAACCTGACCAGCGAGTACGACCTGGAGCTGTTCCGCAGGGCCCAGGCCCGCGCCTCCGAGGACCTGGTGAGACCCTGCCCCAGGCACAGCTCTGGGGCCTGGCAGGCTGCACGGGGAGCCAGCCGGGCTGGGGGTGAGTGCTGGAGCTGAGCTCTGCGCTCAGGAATGTGTGGTGACATTCCAGGGGTGCTCCCAGGGGACAGTGGCAGCTTCAGCCTCCCTGCTGAGGGCTGGTGACAACAAAAGCCACCTCAGCCTGTGACTGAGCTCATGGGCTGGTGTTGCTGAGGCTCCTGAGGAGCTTCCCAAAGCCACATCCCATTCCAGAGAGGGATCAAAAGATCCTTTGATGCTTTCCTGGGACAGTTGGGGTGCCTGGGGCAGAGCCCTGGGCTGTGTCACGGAGCCACAGGATGGACTGGGCTGGAAAAGCCTCTGAGATCATCGAGTGCCACCCGTGACCTGACACCACCTTGTCACCAAGTGCCACGTCCACCTCCAGGGACAGTGACACTTCCCTGGGCAGCCCCTTCCAATTCCCAATCCCTCTTTCTGGGAAGAAATGCCTCCTCATGTGCAGCCTGGCACAGCTGCCCTGGCACAGCCTGGCGCCGTGTCCTCCTGTCCTGTTGTTCCCTGGGAGCAGAGCCTGGCCCTGCCCTGGCTGCACCCTCCTGTTGGGGTTATGGAGGCCAGCAGATCTCCCCTGATCCTTTTCTCCAGGATAAACACCCCCAGCTCCCTCAGCTGCTCTCACAGCACTCGTGTCCTGTCCCTGGGATCAGGAAAGGAGCAGGGAGGAGCTGTAGGAATTTAACGAGAGACGAATTCAGTAAACTTAAAACAGATTTCCTCCAGGAAAACAAATCCCAATTCCCCTCCTGCTGCTTTGAGTTCACTTTTTGGCTAACCCTGCTTTCCCCCCGGGGGCAGGAGAAGCTGAGGCTGCAGGGGCAGATCACCGAGGGCAGCAACATGATCAAGACCATCGCGTTCGGGCGCTACGAGCTGGACACGTGGTACCACTCGCCCTACCCCGAGGAGTACGCGCGCCTCGGGCGCCTCTACATGTGCGAGTTCTGCCTCAAGTACATGAAGAGCCAGACCATCCTGCGCAGGCACATGGTGAGGGCTGGGGCTGGCCTGCTGGGGGGTCAGGGAATGGCTCATTCCCACTGGGAATGCTGCTGGGGGGTCAGGGAGGGCTCAGTCCTGATGGGGGGCTGCTGTGGGACCAGGGAACAGCTCAGTTCCGCTGGGAATGCTGGTGTGGGGTCAGGGAACAGCTCAGTCCTGCTGGGAATGCTGGTGTGGGGTCAGGGAACAGCTCAGTCCTGCTGGGAATGCTGGTGTGAGGTCAGGGAGAGATCAGTCCTGCTGGGAATGCTGGTGTGGGACCAGGGAGAGCTCAGTCCTGCTGGGAATGCTGCTGTGGGACCAGGGAGAGCTCCTTCCTGCCGGGAATGCTGCTGTGTATTCCTGCAGGGAATGGCCCAGCCAGGCTCAGCCCGTGCACATGGCAGTGCCTGACGCCACGCTGGCGGGGCTGGGTTGCAGTGGCAGGCCAGACTGCAGCTCCCTGTCACCCTGCAGCAGCTGCTGTCCCCAGGCCAGCGGTGACAGCCCCAATTCTGTCCCTGTCCCAGGCCAAGTGTGTCTGGAAGCATCCCCCGGGGGACGAGATCTACCGCAAGGGCTCCATCTCTGTCTTCGAGGTGGATGGCAAGAAGAACAAGGTGAGTGGGACCTGCTGGCCCTGCAGGCAGCCCAGGTGTTCCTGCAGGTACCCAGGTGGCCCTGCAGGCACCCAGGTGGCCCTGCAGGTACCCAGGTGGCCCTGCAGGCACACAGGTGTTCCTGCAGGCAGCCCAGGTGTTCCTGCAGACAGCCCAGGTGGCCCTGCTGGCCCTGCTCCCAGAGGGGCTGCTGCAGCCTGGCTGTTCCTGCAGTTTTGCTGCTGCTCCTGCAGCTCCCTCTGTGTCTCACCCAGCAGAGGTGAGCAAAAAACTTCATCCAGCTGTGTATTAGAATGTTTATTTTAATGAAAAAAAATGGCTCCAGCGGCCAATATTTGAATATTTGGCCTTTTTTTGATGGCATTTCTCTGTTGGTGGCACCTGGGAGGACGTGGAGTTTCCTGGGGATATGAGGTACCCTGCCAAAGCAGGATTGCACCTTCTCTCAGGGATTTGTTACAGATCCCAAACCCAGCACCCCCAAACCCTGCCATCCCGGCTGTGCCTGCTCAGTCCCACATTCCTGAGGGAATTCCACCGAGCTGCTGCTGGGCCAGGGTCTGGGGCTGTGTCAGAGGCTCTGGGTGGGCTCTGATTGCAGAGATCAGCCAGGAGACTGCTGTGAACCCCGTGGACATCGTGAGCACCCTGCAGGCCCTGCAGATGCTCAAGTACTGGAAGGGCAAACACCTGGTCCTCAAGAGACAGGTGAGCCTGGGCCTTCCTGGGGCACCTCCCTTCGCCTCCTCCTTCCCTTGCTGGAATCTACTTTCCCTTACTGGAATCAGGGCTTCCATGGATTCTCCATTCCTCCATCTCCTTGCTGGAATCAGGGCTTCCATTGGATTCTCCATTCTTCCTTCCCTTGCTGGAACCAGGGCTCCTTGGGTTCTCCTCCTTTTCCTTGCTGGAGTCAGGGCTTCCCTGGCTTCTCCAGCCTGCTCGTTCTCATCTCCAAGTAAAACAGGAGGTGGGAATCTGACCTCATTCTTCAGCAGGGCAGGAATGAGCCCTGCAGGCCACCCCAAAATCCCACCCTGAGCATCCCTGGGAGGGCTATCCAAACTCCCCTGGAGCTCTGGCAGCCTGGGGGCCCTGCCCATTCCCTGTTCCAGTGCCCACCACCCTCTGGATGAGGAACTTTTCCCTAAAACCCAACCCAAACCTCCCTGACCTCCTGATGGAGCCCTGCATGGCTCCTGCCTGTTCCCTCCCTGACACATCCCTGGGTGGGGGGGTTTGAACCCCAAACCTTCTCCCTTCCCTGGGGGGGCCCTTTGGAGCTCGATTGAAGGGCTTCTGGAAAGCTGCATGGAGGAGGAATTGTTCTTTTGGGGTAACTTTGGTGTTACTGTGCTGTTACTGTGCTGATATTTGGTCTTGTTTTGGTGTTACTCTGGTGTTGCTTTGGTCTTGTTTTGGTGTTACTCTTCTGTTACTCTGGTGCTGTTTTGGTCTTGTTTTGGTGTTACTCTGCTGTTATTTTGGTGTTACTCTGGTGTTGCTTTGGTGTTACTCTGGTGCTGTTTTTGTCTTGTTTTGGTATAACTCTGCTGTTATTTTGGTGTTTCTCTGCTGGTACTCTGGTGTTGCTTTGGTGTTACTCTGGTGCTGTTTTGGTGTTACTCTGGTGCTGTTTTGGCCTTGTTTTGGTGTTTCTCTGCTGGTACTCTGGTGTTGCTTTGGTGTTACTCTGGTGCTGTTTTGGCCTTGTTTTGGTGTAACTCTGCTGTTACTCTGGTGTTGCTTTGGTGTTACTCTGGTGCTGTTTTG